GTGGTACGTGTACCAGTGGAGTGGTACGTGTAACCATATGTCCTGTTTAGGCTTAAAAAATTGTGAAGACTTTATGTTTATTCACATTCGAAGGATAATTTATTGCTTTTGGCATTGTTGTTGGCATTTCCCTAATTTTGCAACCCATTTTGGAACACAGTTTTTGGCTACTAATGGAAAGTTCCTATTTTTTCCCTATTATTGTTTATCATTGTTATGAAAAACATTATTGCACTGGTATTGTTCTCACTCTAACCTACCTTGTGGATTGCTCGCACCAGTGGAGTGGTACGTGTACCAGTGGAGTGGTACCTGTACCAGTGGAGTGGTACGTGTAATTAATGTACCAGTGAGAGAAATTAATTATGTAATTAATGGGGGTGATTTCGTTTTTCTCCAGATTCTTTCTCTTTTCCAATGTGGTGAGAGACCCCAAATTACAAGATTAAAAAAAATAAAAAACCAGTTTAATTAATACTTGCCAATGATTGGAAATAAAATTGGCCAATCATAAAGGGGGTGTCAAAAATCACTACCCCTTTAGGGGTAGTCACGCTAACTGAACCCCTAAGTATTTGTAACATGCTATTATTATATAGTTAATGAAATCTCCCCCCATTCATTCAAAGGAAGAAGATGACAAGTTAGTTTGCATCTCATCTCACGCAGAGCCTCGAATAACACGACTTGCCTTTCTCTATTTCTTTCTTCCTTCCTTCCTTGTTTTCTGATGGAACAAATCAGAATTTAACTCTTTGTGCTCATCATGTGAACGGGCTGACTGACCCATTACATTACAGCATGATTTATGGGAAACTATGACTAGTCCTTCTTCTTGACACGTTGTTACATAAAAAACGAGTTTATCGTTACCTTTATGACCCGTTCGTTTGTGGATCATATCAAAATACAATCAGATAAGTATCAACGTGATAGAAAATGGTATAGAGATTTAGCATAACCTTCTCTTAACAACTCGAGTTATTGGAATCAACTGGTTCTTAACATGGTATCAGAGCTGATTTGACCAAGTAGTCGTGTGTTCGAATCTCCACGGCCCGCAATATTAACGGTTAATTAAAGCACAAGGTATGGTGGGGTTGTGCAAACTTCAAGCCATTGGGTTGGCTTTCGTTTGAGGAGGTGTGTTTGAGAATGGTATAAAAATCCAACATAACCTTCTTCCAACAACTCGAGTTATTGTGATCAACTGGTTCTTGACACAACCTACCAGTCCGCTACATGCGACCATAAATGAGTACTATTACTTCTTGTATTGTGTACATTGTGAAAGAGAGGAGGCGTCCAACCCTAGCTAACTAGTAACTAACCTTCAAGGCCAACCAACATGGAGATGGGTTGGAATTCGATCATCAATCCCCCCATTGATCGCCACCTTCTCCACTAGCTTGCAAGCCCCACAAACCAATTTCCTTTTGCTTCATTAAGTACATTCATCACTCTAGTTCATAGAAGAAGAAACAACTTTTTCACCGGGTCTAGATGACCGACCAGATACACATTATATTCGAGCATGACCATATCACCATATTTCACGTCCTTGTATATTGTCGGATTTCTTCATCCGTAGTGTATGTTTTGAGCAGATCGCATGCAATCATCGAAGCAATTTCTCTAAATGTGGCGTTCGTCGCTGTGATTCGCTTGGAAACGAACAACCATATGTACGTACTGAGAGGTAGTTTTCAAATACTTATTGAAATATCATTATAGCTAACAACGAAAGAGTTATGAAACCGACGACCTAAGAGTTTTACCTTACAAAGGACATTGAGCATGATAAGTAAATGACTAATTAATCAAAGCGATTTGGGGAGGAAGTTTTGATCTTTCACCATTTAGGGTGATGGTTTAGGGGACCAATGACTTATGGGAAGGTCACTACTCACTACTCACTCCTACCCCGATTTTCCTCTGTGTTTCGTCCTATCCAAATCCAAATGGCCTTCATATACGCCAAGAGAGTTTGTGAGTTTCAACTTTCAAGTTTTCTGAACTTACAATTAGGGCTGTATATGGATGGTGGATGCCCCGCAATTGACTTTATAACGGGCCTGACACGTGCTCCTCGCGTGTACAACGAGACGAACATCGTTTCTTCTTCTTTGAATGGGAAGAGCATATCTTCGGTTACACACTTACACTATTCTTCAGGTTTTCCAGGGCCAATATTTTTTTTTTCTTCGTTTTTAGTAACAAACGTACCCAAATAATGCTAAGTATTAAACTCGGGATACAATCAACAATAAAAGAATAATTTTTTTTGTATGGATTTGATTCGCGGAACATAATTGAATAAGTAAAATAAGTTAGGTATGAGCATTTGATTCTAATGTCTAGGTACATACATGCATCAAATTATACCGCTTTTTTGAATTTATTTCAAACTCTTAACTCCTTTCAGAAGAATTGAGAAGTTAAAATTATGTAGTCATGTTTATAGAAAAGTTAACCATTCAACTAGTTTTCTTGCTAACAAGAACATTACAACGCCCCTAACTAGATTTGCATATGATTAACGATAATAGTCCATACGACCTGTAATATTTAGAGACTATGATGTTTATCTAAGAGTCTCCTAATTATTGTTTTTACTATGATGTAATAAATTAATTGTACCACTAAGCCAACACGCATGGAGTTGCCACCACATTTGCTACTTTATCATACAGGAAACATCCCCTAGCAAAACCCTAACAAAATCGACATCAATTCATCGTAAACTCAAAAGTAACAAAGGCAAGGCCTTTTTGACTACTTGATTAAGGGAGAGTGGAGGTCAAAGCAATAAAAACAAAAACGTAATTAGGAACAATAACATCAAAGAGAAAACAGCATCAAAGGTAATTAATTACATCCTTCAATCAATGTAAGTCAATCACTCTTTAGTCAATGAATCTACAGTCTTACCGTGGCCATGAAAAAAAAAAGAAAAAAGGACCGTCAAAAGGGCAATAATGAATCGCGCATGAAACAGAGTCTGATGGCAGCAGCAGACACCAACCCACCACCCATGAGTTACATCTGTGTGTTTAATTAATTTGGACAGGCCCCTCCTCCCTCCTCCCTTTGTCAGCAAACACCAAACCCATAATTGCACCTTTTTTTTTTTGCCAATTCTGGTCAGGAAATTTAAATCATATATAAAAAAATAAATTATAAATCCCTTTCCTTTAATTTTTTTTTAATTGAATGATAATTGTGTTGAACTGGAAGGAAGAAATCAATTATGGTGGCTTTTTTGTTTCTTATATAGTAGTCAGTCACACTCACTATATAGATTATAGACAGCGACGTAAGAGGAGGAAAGGAGGGCTAACATTAACCCTAACCTAACCTAGCTCCCACGCAGCCTCCTTCACACTAGTCATAAAACCATCATATTATTGTAATTTTTCTAGAACTAGCTCCCAATTGAATGAATCCAAGATCATTATTAGCCCAATATATCGATTAATTGATTATGATACAATGTTCAATCACTAATGGAATACCATGGTTCAATGCTAGCTTATCAAAAAACGTAGTTGAAATACTATTGATTCAATACGATAACGTATCGGGTTAAGATTCGAAACAATCTATAAATTTTGTAATCTAACAATAACTGAAACAAGGATGTAAATCGATAGCAACTAGATGTTCGCGTTTGAATTTTTTTCCCTTTTCCTTCTTTCAATTGCACCAGATTTACATAGTTAACATTTGATCCAACTTTGTTCGACTGCTGATATTTTTCTTGTAGTGCTTCTAACGATAATCTTTATACCGATTCACCGTGACCGAAACCAACAATAACGACGTATACGATCAATCGACTTTCCTTAACACATACCCTCCCGACCCACCACCATCCATCCATCCATCCGCCCACTCCCGTTGAAGATATCTACAATGTCGTCATCGCATCACCATCCTCCATAGGAAAAAAACCAAACACCCCATTACCATATTCAAACGGAAAGAGAGTTGCTTCACAAGGGAATAGAACCAAAGAAACAACAATGAGAGGAAAAGGAAATGGCGACAACGACGTCGTGCTCGCTAGCCTTTGGTTTGGAATAATAAAGCCAAAGGATGATGCCCCAAGATACGCTGCTGGACACAGCAAACAGCCTAAGCAAACGCAACGGCACCAGAGACTCTGTCAGGCAGGCAACAGAGCTGTGCCTTTTTTTTTTTCTCTCTCTTTCTTTTGGCCTTTGGCACCTTTTCTTTGCCTGTTTTGGCGGGGCTCCTTCCTTCCAACCACCCATTCACCTAAATTAACCATCATCGACAAACGGGTTAATCTCGAAATCTTCGGGTGTATCGAAACTCGACAATCGCTCCTTCATCGTATTCGTAGTTGCATAGAGTCGAGTAAATCGTGTATAGTTCAGTCAAAGATATTGAAGAATTCGTCAGATGACTTACTAGTAGCGTGAAAACTAATACGAAATAGGACCATATGTAACGGAACTCCATTAAAATTTAAAACGATTTGGGTTACGGTTTTCCATGTTAAAAAGGGAACAGTAATGTGCGCACGGGAGAGAGAAGGGGAAATAGTGGTGGTCGTCAGTCTCTCTCTCTCCTATCGGTTATATTTTCTTTTTTGGCGCCACTTACTGAGACAAACAACTGCAGAGCAACAGCGACATTTGCGCGCGTCCTACGTGTCAGCTTTTGCCTCACACCTGTCCCTTTCCCCCACACACACCATCTTCTCGTTGACTCCACTCGCGCGTAATCCCCACGCTTCGCCCCTCCCGCGCTATTCCTCTTCTGTTCGGTCCATCTGTCGGTTAGATGCCTGGGCCCCACCCACTTCACGCCCGTACCTGTGCCCTCTTCCTTTTCGGGGCCCACGTCCTTTGTTTTCTTTTTCCCTCCTACGTACGTTCCCCCTAAAATACGACGGTAATTATCCTAAATGGTCACTCTACTTTCACTCACTAACAAATCAGATCCTAAAGTTCATATTCTCAAAGTCTAACGGACACAAAGGGAGGATAAATCGTATTATCAAAAATTCAACTGATATATTTCCAGTAAAAAAAAAAAAGAGAGGTTAGATTAATATCTAAGCAGGCGAGAAATGGATGAGATCAAGGAGAAACAATAGATGGAATAAACAATTTTTTTTGTCTTCAGAATTCGCCTGAATTTCTTATCTCTTTTGAACTGTTTTTTTTTTTTTGGCTTTTAATCCGCCGGAGCTTCGCCGGCGTCGGAGAGATCCCTCTCACGACATGTTAACATGGAAGCTGGCGTTCTTGGCGGATTTACAGATGGGGCAAGAATGGAGGCCGGACTCACAGGAACTGCACAAGCACAAATGACGGCACGGCAGGAGCAACACGCACGACTCTTCCTTCCCGCAATTCCGGCACATCCTGCTGCTTCTATTACTGCTCTCCGGCGCTTCGTCCTCGTTCTCCCTCCGGCCGGCCAATCGGTTTTCGAAATCGTCGTTGCTTCCGCAGCAGGACTGGGCATCGTCCATCAGCGCCGCCGCGTCGTCCAGCGAGTGGTGGTGGTGCTGGTCTTCTCTCACGGCGAGGACTTGTTCGAGATTCGAGCGGAGGGCGTTGGCCGTGGCCTCGTTGCTCTGCGCCAAATCTCGCCAGATTTGGTTCTCGATGCAGAGCGACTTCACTTTCTCTTCCAGCGCCCAATTCAGTTTTCCAATCTTGTCGATCTCGTCCTCTTTGGCCTTGAGCCGCTTCAGCATTCCTTCCTCGATCACTTGGATGATCCTCCTCGCTTGCCTCTTCCTCTTGTCTTCCAATTCCGCCCTCACTTTCTCCATCTGTTCAACAAAAAAATCCACACAATCAGTCACCAATTCAATCGATCGAGAGAGAGAGAAAAAAAAATCAAATCGAACCTGCAGACTCTGTTACTCCGGCGAGCGAGAACTTACATGGTGAGAAATCAGGCGGTCGACGTCGAGTTGCTGCTGCTGGATCTGGAGGGAGAAATCGTGGCCGAGAAACGAGAACGGAGCAACGCCGGTTGCTTTGTTATTGTTGTTCGACTGATGAGGCGTTTGATAAGACGAGAACAGAGGATTTCCGTTTCCGTTCATACAATCCCTCGGCCGCTTCCTCGACGCCGGAATCTGACTGATGTTGTTGTTATTGTACGTCGAGAGCCCACTGACCTCCGACTTGATCGCCGTCGCCATCTTCTGCTGCTGATGGTAAGGAAGAAGGAAATTATTCGAATCGGCCATCGCCGAGCTGTACATCGGAAGCAGAGCCTCCGTCGTCGTCGCAGTCGTGGTGCCGGACAACGGCACGCCGAACCCGACCTGGCTGGCGTACATATTGTTATTCGCCTCGATCGAATTCATTATCTCCCTGCCGAAACAAAAACAGACAAATTCAGGACCCAAATCCACACCGGAGAGAAGAAGAAAACAAAAAGAAATCAAGATCCCCGAAAACGGAAACACGGTGGCCGTCGCCGGCGGCAAGGAGTAGGAGGCAGGTATTTACCGGCTGGTGCCGAGGAGCTGGGAAGGGAAGAGATTGAGATGCCTGGCCTCGACCGCCATTACAGAGAGTAGAAGAAGAAGGGAGCGTCGGGGCGAAGAGCGCGGTGGAGAGATTTAGAGAGAGGGAGAGAATCAACGGGAGTTGAGCAGTTGCGGCATACAAAATCGGTGAAGGGGGGAACTGATGAATGGTAATGGTGGGAGAGAGGAGAGGTTTATGAATGGTTTGGTGGTAGAGAGAGAAACAGAGTAGTGAGAGAATTGAGAAGGGGAATGGCGAACGGAGAAATATATTTGTAGCTGTCGACGAGAAAGAAAAGCAAAGATAAAGATGAGAGAGAGAGAGAGAGAGAGAGAGAGAGAGAGAGAAGGGATTTGTTTTTTCTTGGTTAAGGATCTCTTTGTCTATTCTGGGATTCGGTTACCTGAAGGGAAAAGAAAACGAGATAATTCAATTAAAATTAAATACTGAATAGAATAGGAAGAAGTGATATTAAATTATTATTAACGTAATAAATCGGGGTTTTGATTAATTAAAGGAAGAAAGAAAGGTTCGTTCGTTCGTTCATCACACTAATATGGGGTGTCCTATGCTACCCTTCTTTCGGTCATTCGCAGGAAGCTAGGCCGCGACTGGCTGATCAGCATTTCTCATACATATCGCGAGGGGAATAGAGCCGCGGACTGGCTCTCGAAGCACAGTCTCGTCTATCCTTTCGGTATGCATGAATTTGTTGAGCCTCCGGTCGGGCTAGCTACGATCCTTCGGGAGGATATGTTAGGCACTACTTTCGAGCGACGCATAGCGGTCAGCTCTTCTTCTTCTTCCCCCATGTAACCCGCTCTCCCCCTCTTTTGTTTCTTGGCTTTGCCTCCCTAAATGCAAAAAAAAAAACTAATATGGGGTGTGATTAATTTAATTAAGCAATTAATTAATTAGAGGATTTGCTATTGCTAATGCTACCTCCTCCTAATCCTGCCTGCTTGACTCCTATTCCACAACCAAACGCAGTGCTGCCCGTAATTCGGCAGAATCCCCGTGGGTAGTTTCGTAATCTGGGCGGCCGTTCTTTATGGTAATTCCGGTCGGGTCGGTCTTTCCTATTTCTCCCCCCCACCCTCTCTTCCTATTTTGAACTTACTCATTTTTATCCTTCTTGGTACTTATTTGGTTGATAGGTTCTAAGTGTATTCTGTATTGTTGAGAACTTGAGTTGATTGTAAATGAATCTAAATAAAAAATGAAAATGGTTAGATGAACAGCTTACGAATCCGTTTTTAGTTACAGAACGAACAGTAATTTTGAAAACACTACTTCGGTAGTTTTGTGATATTTATTGTAATCAATACACGATGCATTACAACCTTTTCACGTAAAAACCATTTACTTCTCCTTTTTCCGTTGAATTCATAAAAAAAAAAAATCATTTCACTATGCATATCTTTCACATCTACATAAAGAGGGAACTATGTTATACGTGATATCTAACTGGTGTGCAGATTAATTGATTTTTCATATATGGTATAAGTCAGTATGTATCTAATCATGATAATGACACGTACGACTGGATAGTACGGTATGATGTTAGTTAGGTTGATGAATCTTAATTGGCTTGTTTCTATACGAAGCTTACATTTTAATGGTTCTTTTCTTTTTTGATAGACATCTATATATGAAATTAGTAGTAAAATACGTATGATGTACATAAGCGTACCTCCCATAAAATGGTATGTTTCACCACAAAGATGGAAAACCATGTCAAGAATGAACCTATGGTAAACCACATTACTTGTTTCTTTTTTTCTCTCCTTCTTGTTACCCCATATTCTTCACCAGCCTTTTATCTTGCTGCCGGATATCCTATTAGGCCAGCTAATAAGAACGGGGATAAATATAATCACATCATTAATCGCACAACTCCAATTATATTCAAAGATCTCTTTGATTGTTTTTGCCATCTAGAACGAAATTAGCTAGGGTAGATCCATTCCATTCACATTGTTCCCTTATTGTAAAATTCACCGTACTTTTCGAATTATGCTAAGGAAGAAAAGGCCTAGAATAGAAGAGAGCGTTATTTGGCTTCTTTTTTCTCATACATATGCCACGTACGGTTGGTTGCCTTCGTGTTGTTGTAGTGTGGAATGAGTTTCGGCGAAATATCGCACAAGGAATCTCCAAGTATATAATGTTAACTGTTATTAGCCAGCTTTGCTAGGTTTTACATTGCAAGAAGCTAAGCTTAATTATGTTGTGCCTTCTTCTTAGGGTTTGGGTTTTGACCTTAACAATAGCATAACATAACATCTCCTCCTCTTCCTGGGGTTTGACCTTAACAATAGTGCGATTAAACCCGTCTTCTCGAATGATCCTGATGATTCGGTCGCTAACGGGTTGGTCTTCTTGACAATTTATATTTTGTTGTGATTTATAAACAATGCAGTCGCAAGAATAGTTACGTGATCAGAAGAAGCTTAATTATATTGGGTCATGGCGAGTCTCCCGTCAAAGCGTCTAGTTCGTCCCATAGCATATCTCTGGCCAATACCAATATAGGGAAGTGGTTAATATTTCATACATGAACCTCTTCCAACAATTTAAATTATCGGGAGCAGTTGGTTTATAACAAATTATATTATATTGCACCGTCTTCTTAGGGTTTCATTTTGACCTCAACAATACAAAACATCTAGCCTTTCTTCCTAGATAAGTTTTTTTTTTTACCTTAACGATAGTGATTAACCCATCGTCTGGAAAGATCTTCACAACCGGGTCTCTAACCATTTGCAACACAATTCATGTTTCGTTGTGACTTGCACGAATACTGCAATAAGACTACTACTCCACACCTCGTGTATAGATGTAGGCATTGTCATGTTGAACCAAGTAATTAAATTATTAGAGTATCTTATGATCGATGTATCCTCGTTATTTACATATGGTATTTATCGGCAATAATTTGCTGAAAGATCCCAACTACTAATTAGAACAAAGACTAATCCAAATTCAAACCGTGTGCATAACATATAATTGGCGGGTTTCTTAAACATATATATATAGTAACCATTCCACGCATTTCAGGAAAATATTCATACGGTCATGAATGAATCTGAATATATGTAGTCAGCACACATTGTTAATATATCGTGGCCGCCGGGCTTTGCTGGTCATGGAAGGCTCTATCTATAGTTGCTGATGGCCCCTATTTTCTTGCCATTCTTTTCTTCGGGCTGAATGTTTTTGAATTCAACTGGAACTGGAATTGACACCCCCTTTTCTATAACAGAATAGTTTGACCAAAATCTCTACCAACTTGCCTTTCAAATCTCTTGGCTGCCTGCCTTGCCTTCAAGCACGTCTGTGAATTATCTGTACGTACGGCAATATATTTGGTTGGGGAGAAGAAGACGGGGAGAGATGGTTGAACGCAACATAAGGAATATTCATTTAATCAAGGTATTCATCTGTGTAGCAACAAACAACGACTAATTCTGGGTGCGATCATACTAGTCTCTAGATAAAAATAAACAACAAATTAATATCTATGTATGAATTTCATATCTAAAAGCGGATTGAGACGGAACGATTCAGTTCATGATTAATAGCCAAAGTGAACGTCGACGTGTTGAACCTGAAATAACCCCTGTCTATCTCGTACTTAAGTCGTGTAACTCGACCTTAGCACATGTGTCTAGGGCCAAGGATCGGTCAAACTCTACTACATGTTATGATTATAATTAGTAATGTTGTACACGAGATAGTTTGATGCGGACGACAACCAACTCCATAGACATAACACAGATAATTAGTTTGTTTGCTCTCTCTCTCATTTCCTTCATCCTTTATTATGAGATCAATAGGTTTGATTAATTGCTTCATGTTTTTTGTCCCCCATTGTATTGTTTGACAGGAAATTTCCTTGCTCTCCCCGCCGTGTTCAATCAAGTTGGATGAAGAAAGAAATCAAAACCCGCCATTGGAATCGCCTATAGTAACATATTATTCCATAGCGTTTTGGACTCTAGAGGGTTTTTGGTTTGCCTTGTTTGTCAAGGCTAAAACAACAATCTTCAACACAAGAGGCTGTTTCCATCATGGGGCCGGCAGCCATTTGAAACAGGCTAAAAAACAACACGTTTTATTTTATTCACACAAAAAACAATGCCATTGATTAATCTCTTGATTAGTGTACTCAAATTGGACGATTAGGTAACCACTGGATTAATCCAAAGCCTCTCTCTATTATATGTATGAAATTTTATTTCTGTTTTGAGATTTCAACGAAGCTGCCCAATAGCCACATTCATCTATGTGCTCGATGAGGCTGTTATTGTTTTGTCCTCTTTTTTCCTTTTTAGTTGATAATTTTGTCCTCATTTTCTTCATTACTTCGAAAAAGAACCCAAGGAGATGAAAAAGGTCAACATGTTGAGAGAGATGAGAGAGAGCGCTAGAGAGAGAGTCGGTGAGGGTCTTCCGGGTGGGGTGTGTGATGTTTCCCTGTTTTGCAGGTCAGATGATGCGCGTTTCTGTGGCGGCGGTGGCCTTCCTGGCCTGATCAGGCGGCGAGTTCAGATGGGGTCGAAGTTTGTCTCAGTTAGCAACACCAGATCAGGGTTTATTAGGCTCCAGGTTGAGGAAAAAGGCAAGCGATGGTTCGTCTTCTTGGATGGTGCACAGGCTTCTTGGTTGCAAGGGGTCCTTCAAACTGCCTCGAGAAGGGATTGGCTATTCCCCGCGAAGTGCGTCCTGAAAAGCGGGGATCGCACCATACATATTGGTAGTGTTCTGAGCCGTCGCGGTCATCTTCTGCAAGTCTCTGAGTTGTCAAGGACGGGGAAGGTTTTCAAAGTCATCATCCCTGCTGCGAGTAATGGGTTCGGTTGGGCGAGACTGATTCGTCTCCTACAGGATTTCTATGCGGCCGATCTCCAATTTCGCGTCAGCGCCTCCACCTCCAAACCCCTCGTTGAGATCCCCCCGCCTCCTTTGCAGTTTGGTGCAAGAAGCTACGCCGATGTCGTGAGATCGGGAGGGTTCTACGGCGCCGGTAAGTGCTCCATCTTGGGCCGCGGGAAGGACAAATACATCGGTGTGGAGATGGAGGGAGTCAAGGAGCGGCGCGACCTTCTGGGGAAATGCCTTGTTCTCACCTTCCGTTCTTCTTCCAACGAGAGCTTCACTGGAAACCTGGTCTCTCAGTTCCGGCGGTGGGCAAAGAGGTTCTGGGCTGTTGATGAGAATTTTTCTTTGGAAGATTGTGGTGATGGGAGGTGGTTTCTGATATGTCCTTCGGTCCAAGAATCCCTTCGTATCTTGAAGCTGAATTACCGGATTTTTCTGGACTTCTCCATCTCCGTTTCTCGCTGGAACGAATCTGCGCCTCTGGCAGAC